GCCTATTATACCACACAAATGGTCATCACTACTGGCAAATGTACTGGGGAACATGAAGACTAGAAGTCAGCCTACAGGCAGAACTCACGGATACCCAGGAAAGAAGGAAAGGGGGGTGTTTTGACACAGCCATGATCATGACATGAACTAGGGTTGAGTCAGTGGGTAAGCCTGGGATACTCAGGGAGTCTAAACTATAGGACTTGATGGATTGAAAGCAAACGATTGAAGAATGATTCATGGATTTTGGCTTGAGTTCTAAGTAGATGGTGTTGAGAAGAATGGGACAGAAACAGATTTTAAGTCAGGGAAAATCAGTAAATATTTCTACATATCTTAATTTTGAGACCGCTGTTAGAAACCTAATAGGAGATATTGACTACACAGAGATACAACACTGAAGCTCATAGTGAATACTGAGGGAGAGATGTAATTTTGGAAACCATAGAAATGAATGAGGCCCCCTAAGGAAAAAGTATGTAAGGAATATTGTAGAAAATCTTATTTAAATAATATGGCAATTTTATATCTCGCTTTCCAGTGCTTACTCCTTTTATTTATTTTTGTAGTCTCACTGCACTCCTTAGGATTTCCAGGAAAATGCTGAGTACAAGTGGTTTGGTAAGCATCCCTGTTTGTGCCTAATCTTAAAGGCAGACTTTCAATATGTGGTCATTATTTTTTCTTCTAGGTTATTGTGTAGATAATTTTCCTTAGGCTAAGGAATGTTTTCCTCGTAACTGTCTAACACTTTTTCTTTCTTTTTCTTTTTTTCAAATTGTAAATGGATACTGAATTCTCTCTCAAAAGTTCCTTTTGTATCCATTGAAATACTATTTTCTCCTTTGACATGATGATCTATTTCTGGAATAATTTCAACTTGGTGATGATATATTATTTTTTAAATACATTACTTTGATAGTTTTGCTAATATATTTTATATAATTTTTCGGGGTGCCTGGGTGGCTCAGTCGTTAAGCGTCTGCCTTAGGCTCAGGTCATGATCCCAGGGTCCTGGGATCGAGTCCCACATCGGGCTCCCTGCTCAGCGGGAAGCCTGCTTCTCCCTCTCCCCCTGCTTGTGTTCCTGCTCTCGCTATCTCTCTCTCTCTGTCAAATAAATAAATAAAATCTTAAAAATATATATATTTTTTATATAATTTTTCAACTATGTTAATCAATTAAATTGGTCTCTAATCATTTCTCATGCTATCCTCAATAAGTTTTGTATCATGGCTAGGTCAGCCTCATAAAATGAGTTGGGAAGAGATCTTTTTCTACTCTTCGGAAAATATGTACAAGCTGAGAACTATGTTCTTTTTGAATGCCTATAATAAGCTGTAAAACATCATGAGCAATCCCCAGTCACTTTTCCTGGGAATAAAGATAATATAGAATTGTGAGGAGGATGAAAAATAGGTACTCAAGATTCATGATAATCATCAATTTGATAGGTACCAATTATGAGTGACTGATGTTCTTTTGAGTATTTTTTAAATTATAATAAACCTATGAGATAGCTTCTCTTATTAATCACACTTTATATTTCAAAGAACTCAAGCTGAGAGAAATTAAGAAGCCTGAGGTCATGTAGTTACTATATAGTAGAATGGAAATTTGACTGAGGATGGTCTCATTCCAGGATTTGCAGTATCGATCTCTTTACTTCGACTTTAATTTATCATAAAAAGGAAAATTGCTGAAAGCAAATTTTTCTATGAGCCATTTTGAGTTTATTTTCTTCTTAGGAAATTTGTGGTAATTAAAATAATCAAATTATCTATGAAATATATTTTTATGTTATTGAATCACATTAAAATTTGTAGTGGTTTATATTCAGAAATTCTGTATTATAGCTATTATTCTACTAAAGATATTTTCTATCTCCAGACTTACTATTTTTACTTCCCTCTCGTGATGAAATGAGTAAGAACATATCTTTTCTGCTGCTGAAATCATTCCCATATAGTCTTTTCTCTTATAACTCTCATCAAAGTGTAGATTATTTTAATTACAATTAATAATATAATAATTCATTCAAATGATATTGTAACAATTCAATAGTTTAATGAATGTAGTGATTTTGTTCAGAAGAAAAGGATCCATATATGATATGTCTGGTAGATGTGCATAAAGTAATAGTTGCTAGGTTGCTATATTGTTTTTACTTTTTAATATTTTATATATTCATAACAAATTCTGAAAGTTTCTTCTTTTTATCTTTTAAAAACATGGATTTAGTTTTAAAAAATACATAAATTATAGTCATGGTAGTAGTTCCACAATTTAGGGTGTATTGAAGAGGCTATTTAAATAAACAGAAATAAAATTACCTCATTTTATATCCTGTATAATTGGAATTGTGCTATTTAACACTCATGAAAATGAGAAGACAAAAATATAATGAATATTATCAAATGAATATTGGTTTAAGATTAAAGCAATTATTATTTTATTACAAATGATATTAGTTATCTATTGCCAAATAACAAATAACTACAAAATTCAATAACTTTAAGCAACCAATACTTAATTTCTCAAAATTCTGTACATCAGTATGACTCTTTGGGTTGACTGTGGGTAAGTCAGGAGCTAGAGAGGTGGAGGGCCTGGGATGGATTAGCGTCACTTTCCATGTGATTTTTAATCCTTAGGGAGGTTAAATTGGGAAGCTTTACATGCAGTTCTCTGGGTAGTTTTCCGGTGAAGGGAAAGCAGAAGCACAAACTTTTAAGACTTAGCCTCTGAAGTCATACAATGTAGCTTTTGTCACATTCTGGTCACAGTCACAAGACCAGCCTGTATTTAAGTGGTAGAGAACTACATTTCACCTCTTCATGGAATAAGCTGCAAGATCCCATCAACACTGGACAGACACAGGGAACATGGTTCATTGAAGACCATTATTTTAACAGTCTACCATACAAACTGTCAGCTTGGTACACTGTCTTTTGAAAGGTAAAGTCTGTAATCTTTTAACCTCATGCTGAGATGTGAAATTTATTATATTGGTTTAAGAGTCTCATACATCACCCCAAATTGTTTTATGACATTTTAATGAAACTAGGATGCTTTTATCTTTTTATAATATAAAAGAAGAGTTCCTCTGAGATGTTGTAATCTCAGCCTAAAAGAATACAGACATCATTAAAAGGAATTTCAGCAGGTGCCATAAATTAGAAATATTGTGATAAACTATCAGGATAGAACTTTTAACTATCCCATTCATTTCAATGGGCTTATCAAAATAATGGCAAGATAAGAATATAAAAGAGAATCAATGCAAATAGCCTTTGTAATTTTTTATTTGTAAAGGTGGACTATTTCAGTGAATTTGATCTATCTGTTGTGAACCTATCTAGGGCCTGTTAAGAAGAGGAAAGAACTAAAGTCTATTCTGAATTTTAGTTATAACACATTCAACATTATAAATTGTTTTCCCAAACTACATATTGTTTTAGGATCCACATATCATATCCATTTATTGAGCACCTAATATGTTTCAGATATTATTTAACCCTTACTGCTAATCTTAACCAATGAAAGAGAGACATCATACATATGATATATAAAGTAACAGAAGAGAAAAATAGGGCTCAGAATACTAATTTGGCTATCTAAATCTTAAGTGGTGGTACTCAAATTTAAATTCACATCTTTAGGACTTATGTCATTACTGCCTTCCTAAAAATTATATCATAATAAGTCATTATCAGGTACGATAAAAATTTTACAAAAATATTCCTTTTACTAAATAATAATAAAATCAAGGCAGCTTAGTTGCAAAGGTCTTTTAGATAAACAACTGGCATTTCTTGAATGCTAATTACATATGTAACAGGTAGCAGACGGAGAATTTACATGTATTTTCCATTAAATTTCACAAAGCCATTTACAAAGGAGGTGCTCTTATTTTTTAATTTTCAGTTTAAGGAACAGGTTAAAAACAAAACAAAACATAGCACCATCATCACAAACCATTTAAACCAGTAGTAGTACTTAAAACAAACTTCCAAACAGATACTAAAATGCAGCCACGGTTAAGAGCCATTAATTAGTTTGCTATACATTTTTAGAGAAAACTGATGCCATTAGAAGCAAGAGTAAAAGATAAAAAACAGCAAACTGAATTGCAATAATTTCGTGGTTTTCTTGATATTATTTAGAAATTTCTTAGTGTTTATAATTTTTCAATTAAATATCATATACAAATAGGTAAGCATTTTTAAGATTTGTAAACACAGATGAAGAAAGTACATTTTGCTACCACTTTGTTAAAATGACTTACATTTTAATGTTTGCAGCTTTAAATTATTAAGGTGAAATGTTAAAAAAAACAAGGATGTTATTTTTTTTTTAAAAATGTACATAAATTACTGCCTGGATCAAAATTAGTTCCTACAGAAACATTTAAGAAAAAAATAAACTATCATCTTACTGTTCATTTTCCAGTCTAAAGTATAATCTCATATGAAATTACTTTAAAAGTGGTGTCTCTATGAAAAACTCACTTGTATGTTTTTCTTGAAATGTTTTCAAAATCTATCTGATCTCCAAATAAATCTATTTTAATACATTTGAATATATTTTAATATTACTCTAATGCATATGTAAGCTTACATATATATTAAGTAATCCATAACAAAGCACTATCTATGTGTAAATGTAAGTGTAAATTAATAGCTGCAGCATTCAAAACCTGTGTTTATACTATGCATAAAACTATAAGTGTTAATCTATTTGTAGTCTTACCAAGGTATCCAGTAAATTCAGTTGCTTAAATCACCAAATTATATAAAAAAGTACAAATTCACTCCCCAAACATTACCTTGCCACTTTTTAAAGTGAATAAATTCTCTCATAACAAGTAGATGATAAAAAAGAAATCCTTCTATTCTATGCAATCATGAATATATTAAGCTGACACTAATTTCAGAGACATAACTCTTACTATCGCAGTTTGAGGAAATTCAAAGTATCTCAGTTGAGACTAAACTTACCAGCAAATTTGATATGGAATTTATTTTCAGGCTTTAATATCTGGACATACAAAGGGCAATTTGGAGCAAAATCTTTTACAGCCCATGCTCTCAAAATTGTTTGGTGGTCCTGAAATGATAAATATCAAAAGATCATGAAATAAATTGAAAAATTGGTAACATATAAAGTAAAAATCTTCAATTGGTGTGTTAAATGTTCACATCCACAGTTTAAAATTCAACATAAAAAATAATGAATTGTAAGGACTTATTTTTAAAGATTCTTACTATTTCTATAAAGGAGAATAACAATACCTAGTTCAATCAATGCTAATTCCCAGCACTTAGAAAATTAGCAGCGATTAGGAGGAAAGTTTCTTGACAAGCTTAAAAGTAATCTTCTTAGAAAACAATTGAGGGGCAGAGGCTTCAGAAATATAGCACAACTAATAGTTTGTAATAACAGTTTCCATGGAAAATAATATGAATTTATAACAATTTTAACATGTTTAGGAAGATTGGCAAAAAGGGAATGACTACAGTGACCATGCATGTAGAGAACATACCATTTTAAATTTTTTTGTATAATAGTAAAAGTAAAAGGATTTTTGACTCTATGGGTGTGTGTTGGAAAAGATCAGTAACTTTCAGATACTAAAAAAAAAAAAAAAAAAAAAAAAAAAACCCAGTTTAAAAAAAAGTTTCTGAGACTGAGAAAGGAATAAAAAGCATGCTTAACATTACATATCATATGACCCCATAAATTATTATTTAATTAACTAAGTAGATCAAAGCAAATTATCAGAGAAATATGTCAGTTAGCCAATACATTTTGAAAAAGGAAACAAGGGCGCCTGGGTGGCTCAGTTGGTTAAGCGACTGCCTTCAGCTCAGGTCATGATCCCAGGGTCCTGGGATAGAGTCCCACATCGGGCTCCCTGCTCGGCGGGAAGCCTGCTTCTCCCTCTCCCACTCACCCTGCTTGTGTTCCCTCTCTCGCTGTGTCTCTCTCTGTCAAATAAATAACTAAAATCTTAAAAAAAAAAAAAAAGGAAACAAAATCATGTTCAAGGATACACTGTCCATATAGTAGTCATTAGCCACATGTGGCTGTCTAAATTTAAATTAACTAAAGTTAAGAATTCCATTTCCCTATCACACTAGCCACATTTCCAGTGTTCAAAGCCGTCTGTGGCTAATTCAAAGTTATATGGAACAGTGCAGATATAAGCATCTGCATCATCACAGAAAGTTCTATTTGACAATGTTGTTAGGGAAAGAAAAGGATAATTAAAAATACAAGTAGATATGAGGGATTATTTACAGAAGTGCAGAAAGAAGCTGTTGTCAGTGGTTGGCAATTCTAAATTGCATGAAAGTTAATGAAGTGTAACTCAGAATTCCTTAAGTAGATAAGCAGACAATGTGTGTCTTCCAGGCAAACATTCAAAACATGATGATGAACCTGATACAGTGTGACAGTTAATTTTATGTGTCAACTTGGCTGGGCCATTAGGTGCCCAGGTATTTGGTTAAACATTATTCTGGATGAGTGGGAAATCCCAGAAAAGGGAGAAGCAGAGAAAGAAGTCACAAATTCTGTGTATAAATTTACACGACATCGGCTAACCTCTAAATCACACATGCATGGGACAGAATAAGAGCAATCTCAACTGAGATTTGAATCACTGCCCACTAGAAGGATGATAGAGTTTGCATTCAAGTGAACCAAATTAACTGCTTGCTGAAACAAGAATATCAACACTCTTCAGAGGAATATAGGAGACAGATACCAAGGCTCCACAATATAATATAATATTCAGAATACATTGCAAAATTATTCAGTATATGAAGTGCCAGAAAAATGTTACCTATTTGTTAATTTTATGGGAAACAAAACTAAGTCCAATAAACATTAGCCTTTACATGATCTAGATGACTGAAATCAGACTAGGGCTTAAAGCAGGTAATAAAAGTATCATCACTGAGGTAAAGGAAATATGCCCACAATAAATAGGAAAAAAAACTCAGTAAAGGAATGGAAAATATTTTTTAAATTAAACAAAAAGCTCAAATATCTGAAACATATTCACTGGATGGGCTGTGAAGTATAATGGAGATGACCTAGGAGAGTCAGTGAACTTGATCATAGATCAACAGAATTTATCGAATTTGAAAAACAGAGAAGAGGGATGGAAAAGGAACAGAGTTCAGGGACTTGTGCAACAATGTAAAAATGTCTTATATAATGTAATTGGATTTCCAGGAAGAACACAAAGGAGAAAATAGAACAGAAAATGATTTGAAGAACTAGTGGCTGGAAACTTTCCAATTTTGTTAAAGGCATAATTTTTCAAGTTCAAGGAACTCAGAAAATCCCAAATCATGTAAACAAAAAACTACCACACCTAAGAACTCTGTAGTCTAATTATTGAAAACCAAAGGTAAAGATAATATTTTGAAAGCATCCAAAGAAAAATAGTTGTATGACCAAGGACTCTCATCAGAAACCATGGAAACCAGGGGACAGGGAAACAATATCTTAAACTCCAGAATGAAGAGGGGGGAAAAATTTAAGCCATAATTTTATAGAGAAAAATCCTTAAAAGAGATGAAATAAAGGACTTTTTCAATTAATGAAATCTAAGAAAATGTGTTGTCATCAGAATTATACTACAAGAAAATTATAAGAAACTTCTTTATGCTGAAAGGAAATGATACCAGAGGGAAAGTCAGAACTTCGGTTATCAAAGAAGAGTATCAGAAATGGGTAATATATGAGTGAACAAAGATAATTTTTTTCTTTAAAACATGTATATCTTTACAGAGAAAAATTTATAGTATTGTCTTGTGGAATTTGAAGTTTATAAAAATAACAGAAGAATAAGCACAAAGTTTATAACTTTAATATTGTTCAATATTAAAAAATAAGTAAATTGGGGGCGCCTGGGTGGCTCAGTCGTTAAGCGTCTGCCTTCGGCTCAGGTCATGATCCCGGGGTCCTGGGATCGAGCCCCGCATCGGGCTTCCTGCTCCGCGGGAAGCCTGCTTCTCCCTCTCCCACTCCCCCTGCTTGTGTTCCCTCTCTCGCTGTGTCTCTCTCTGTCAAAATAAATAAATAAAATCTTTAAAAAAAAAAAAAAAGATTAAAAAAAAAAAAAAAGGGGCGCCTGGGTGGCTCAGTTGGTTGAGTGACTGCCTTCGGCTCAGGTCATGATCCTGGAGTCCCGGGATCGAGTCCCACATCGGGCTCTCTGCTCAGCAGGGAGTCTGCTTCTCCCTCTGACCCGCCCCACTCTCATGTGCTCTCTCTCATTCTCTCTCTCAAATAAATAAATAAAATCTTTAAAAAAAAAAATAAGTAAATTGTGCAATATTAACATGAAGCAGACTATGAAGAGTTAAGCCTGTGTAGTGTAGTCCCTACAGTAGTCTCTAAAAAAATTTCAAAAGATAATTTCTAAAAAGTCAATAGGCATAATAATAAAAAAAGTAGAAAAGAGAAAACAGAGGAACATGAATTGGTAGGGAAAAACAGAAAACAATTTAGTTAGACCTCCATCCAACCATATAAATGATGGCACTAAATGTTAATTAACTGAACATATTAAAACATAAAGGATATTTGAAAAACAAAACTAAAACTCAACTATAAGCAATTTAGGACAGAGGGCACCTGGATGGCGCAGTTGGTTAAGCATCTGACTCTTGATTTCAGCTCAGGTGTTGTGGGATCAAGGCCGGCATCGGACTCCATGCTCAGCTCAGTGTCTGCTTGAGATTTTCTCTCTCCCTCTCCCTCTGCCCCTCCCCTGCTTTCTCTCAAATAAATAAATAAATAAAATCTAGTTACTGATAAAAGTTACTGATAAAAGAAGTGATAATAAGAAAAAAAAAAACCCTCAATTTGAAAATGAGCAAAAGATCTGAACAGACACCTCACCAAAGAAGATACACAGGTGACAGATAAGTACATGAAAATATGATTAACATCATGTATCATTAGAGAATTATAAACTAAAACAACAATGAAATACCACCACACAACTATTGGAATGACTAAAATCCCAAACACTGACAACACTAAATACTAGTGAGGATGTGGAACAGTAAAAAGTCTCATTCATTGCTGGTGGGAATGCAAAATAATTCAGCAACTTTGGAAGACAGTCTCCAGTTTCTTATAAAACGAAACATAACCATACCATATAATCCAGCAATCGTGCTCCTTGGTATTTACCCAAATGATTTTTCCACCCAAAACCTGCACTTGAAGCTTTACAGCAATGGATAAAACAAAGAGGTATATCTAGACAATAGAATATTATTCAGCAATAAAGAGAAATGAGCTGTCCAGCCATGAAAAGACATGAAGGAAACTCAGATGCATACTGCTAAATGAAAGAGGCCTGGGCGCCTGGGTGGCTCAGTCGTTAAGCGTCTGCCTTCGGCTCAGGTCATGATCCCAGGGTCCTGGGATCGAGTCCCACATCGGGCTCCCTGCTCGGCGGGAAGCCTGCTTCTCCCTCTCCCACTCCCCCTGCTTGTGTTCCCTCTCTCGCTGTGTCTCTCTCTGTCAAATAAATAAATAAAATCTTTAAAAAAATAAAAATAAATAAATAAAATAAAAAATAAATAAATAAATGAAAGAGGCCTGACTTAAAAGGCTGCATACCGGGGTGCCTGGGTGGTGCAGTCTGTTAAGCGTCTGACTCAGTTTCAACTCAGGTTGTGATCTCAGGGTCATTAGATGGAGCCCTGTGTGAGCACGGAGTCCTGCTTAAGGCTCTCTTTCCCTTTCCCTCTGCCCCTCCTCCAGCACAGACTCACTCTCTCTTTCTCTCTCTCTTTCAAATAAATAAAATCTTTTTTTTAAAAAAGCTGAATACTGGGGCGCCTGGGTGGCTCAGTTGGTTAAGCAACTGCCTTCCGCTCAGGTCATGATCCTGGAGTCCCAGGATCGAGTCCCGCATCGGGCTTCCTGCTCAGCAGGAAGTCTGCTTCTCCCTCTCCCGCTCCCCCCTCTTGTGCTCTGTCTCTAAAATAAATAAATAAAATCTTCAAAAAAAAATAAAAATAAAAAAATAATTAAAAAATTAAAAAAGTTGAATACTATAGAAAGTGTAAAAA